GTACAAGCCTGAAATTAAACAGGTAAGACAGGTGTATGCACACATATAAGAAGAATCTTTTTCATATACTTTCTGTTATCTCTAAGGAGAAGCAGAATGATTTGTTAGATGCTGGCTCACATTTTTCCCTTCTTATCACGCATACTTGTGTACAATCAACATACACTACTGGAGATGATGTGGTAGAAATCTATAATATTTAAATGTTTTACAGCCTAAAGAAAATCTGATCTTGTCTGCCATCTCAAATGACAAAGGCCTCGTAATTTTACCTAATAAATCCAGAATTAATGTTTGAATTTATGGTTGGAGTAAACACATCTTCTAGCAAGATGTCTGTTTTCATTCCTTTCACAAGTAGAGTGAGGCAAAAAATTGGAACATATGCTGTAACAATACCTCACTGTACATCCTTTATGGTGGTGTGCATATATTTGATGATATGCTGTGTGTAAAATTCTCAACATTTCAGTCAAACACATCGGAAATTTCTGCAAATCCCTGAAAGCCTGGTGCGCTTTCACATAAATTCTTATACCAGTTCTTCTGCTTTATTGGGATTTCACATGCTACTATCTGTTCTGACAAATTGTTGGATTTTGATAAGGTTTTGTTTATTTTAGAAATGTCATTTTGTTAATTGCTACACTTAGCTTTTTTGCCTTTCTTCTCATCTGTGATTTAGAGTTTCTCATGCACCATGAGCAGTACTACCCTTCCACAAGACCCTTGTGGAAGAGTAGCTGAAAGAACAAGTTGTGATTATATTTCTGGCATGTTTCCTTCACTGTCTTGTGTCATTTAAAGGTTGTATTAATCTCTTTAGGACATTCCGTGCGAAATCCCTGAACTCTATAAAGCCATGGGAGTCTTAATAAAAACAAGATTTATTAAGAAAGGATACAGAACACTGGAGAAATGGACTGTGTAACAAGTCTAAGCTGAAATGTTGCTAAAGCTTGATACACAGCCTTCTTCAGGTGCAGCCCACCCAGTGCCCGTAAGTTAGAAACATAGATGGCTGAAATCGTAGTGCAGGCATCAAGTCTGCCTAGAGTAGTGCTTACTGCCTGACGTTGAACTATTTAATTCTTTATTTTCCATATAGCTTTAAGTTATTTTGAAAGTGGTATACAAATGTCGCTCCTCATCCTTTTTACATATCTTATTTTTGAACAAGCAGATCACAGCTCAAGTCTGTCTACTCTTTCTCCTAAATTATTAACCATGACTTTACATAGTAAATTGCACTGGCTACAAATGTTTGCTTGAACATAATTCATGACAGAGTTTAAAGAGACAGAGCTTACATATCATTTTCTCAGTCAGTAAACAACTGATGTTAATTTTGGCATTTCTCAGCTTCCGAGTGCTTAGTTTTGATAAGATGGTGTTCCTTTCAGTAGTTGTGGTCCATTTAAATTATTTTCTTATTTTAAGAAAAGCAGCAAAACTAGCACTGAAAATAAAATTACATCCTGCAAAATCCTACTGACCCTCCTTTTCTCTGGAAGACTCCCCCTAGTGAGTCTTGCAAGCACTGGAAACTAGATAAAAAGCATCTTTCACTATCACATTCACTCGGTGGCACTAGATGTTGCAGGTGAGTGATGCACACCTTTGCCATTTCCCATGCAGGAAGGTGCAGCTGGGGTGAAGGATGGCTTGGCAGAGGCACTGTTGGGTTGATGGCAAGAGTTAGGAAGAAACAGAACATACTCTGTGGAAATCTGTACTCTCCTGTGTTTAAGTCAACCAAGGAATTATCAAATTTGGGCATTTTTTTTTAACATACACAGCAAAAAATAAAATATCAGAAACCTGGTTGCTTTGATTCTAGACCTTCTTAATAAAATGCTTGCGGAAAAAAGCTAAACTAAACTGTTTGTATTGCCTCGTCTGTAACCATCTCTTAAGCTTATGTCATTTTTTAAAATTCTCTGCCTTCCAAGCAGATAGAGAAGATAACCAGATAAATATATGTAACACACAACATAAGTTAATGTTATTGATGCTTGGAGAATTGTCATGTAAATCTCAGTCAAAATGGTTGTGGTTTTAGTTAAAACTGGTAAGGCTGGATCATTGCCTTATTTAATGGCTTTAGTAGAGCACATTAGTAGAGAGTTTTCTCCTGTTTTCCCTATATTGTAAGGTCATTAATGAATCATTATCTATTGCTAGTAATTAGTGATCTCTTGAGAATATTGGTTTAATTATATAGGAATCATAAGTAGAAGATACAGTTACATATTCTACAATGTAGATAGTAGTACCTTGGTGTATTATGGCTTTAAAGAATCTAGGGGGGTTTTTTGTAGCTTTTAATTGCTAAGTGTGCCTGGTAAAATATGAATTATTGTATTACTGCATGTGATAAAAGGTATACTATTGTGAGCCTCGCAGTCTGCAGGTGTAACAGATGTAAGGCAAGATTAACAGGACAGAACAACAATTAAACCACAGACAGCCATCTAAAAAAAAAAAAAAAAAAAAAAATTTTATCATGTCCAATGCAGTTATTACGTGTGTGTTAAATTCTCTGCAAATATTTGTAAAAGCAATAAAAACGTGATAGTTTGAAAGACAGCTTTTCAGTGTGGACACTTACTTTAAGGAATTAAGATCCCTTTTTATGAATATAAAAGCTGGGTGAGGTCCTGCCATATGGCAGCATGGTTCATAAGCAATAGGGTCCTTGGTTTATAGATGCTACAAGCTAAATGCTGCTGAAGGAAATAAGAGAGCAGTTAGTATATATGCATTCACAACAGCATGAATTTCTTACACCCTTTAAGACAGGAAGGTTCAAATAATTAATGGTAATATTATGGTTACAAAAGGAAGTCCAGTTGTTCTTCAGCAGTCTGCATCTGTGAAACGTGATACCTCTGGGGACTGAGATTTAATTTTCCCAGGAGAAAATATAAAAGCAGGAGAAAAAAAGGAATGACTTCTGCTTGAGCAGAATAAACCTGCATCTACAAACGATTAACACTGCATAATGAAGTAGTAAAGAAGCAAAAGAGATTTCTAATAAAAGACTAATAACAAATCCCATTACACCATGGTGTATTTTTTCCCTTGAAGTGTATTAGACTTTTAGCAGGGCTTCTGAACAAGATTTGGGTAGTTGGAAGCAAAGTCAGCTCCAATGCTTCAAGCTTACTTGAAATTTTTTGCCTAACAGTTTGCTTAACTTGAAAGTTGCGGTTATACAGGTGGGAGGGGTTGTTAACGCAAGTAATAGGCTTCACACAGAGTTTGGGTAATGTTTGTGTCACCATAGGATAATAGTCTCCTGTAGGCTAGGCACTGCAGGGTAATGTGCCGCTATATGGTAAAATCCCTTAGATAGAACAGACGTGGTATTAAATGCACTAGCTAAGTCTTGCTTTTGTGTTAACAGTTCTTCTGAGGCCTGAAAATAAGTCCTGATAGGAGAGGGGTTTAATCAAAGTGGGAAAAACACAGAATTTGTGTTTTGTCAGATCTGATATTATGATTTTTATAATTACTATGCTAACATTAAAAGTTAGCAAAAACCTTAGAACATAGATGTTTGATATAAGGATGATATGATGCTGTCTTTTGAAATCACATATTTGCACTTTTAAAAGGGAACATGCCTTGTAAAGGAAAAAATTCCATGTAGTGATCTCTAAATCTGTAACATGGATGTTTTTGCGCATTATATATATGGTTCCAGTGGCAGGGGAATAAAAGTTTATTGAACGAAATCTTGAGTCACAAAATAGTCCATTTGAATTTCTTTTATAAGAGAGGGTCTTTTTGTACAGATTGTTTCTATCTTAAAAGCTTGTGCTCAACTGATGTGTTGGAATTCATTTATCTAGAAATGAACTTTTATTACTGGAATAAGGAAAAAAAAAAAAAACAACACAGATGCCTTAAACCAACAATGAGTTCTGGGATAAAAGTGGTTAAACATGAATTCTTACAAGTGAAACTAATCTTGATGAAATTTCTAGTTGCCTTTTTAGAAATTTTTCTGAGTTTTAAAGAATGACTTAATTTGCTTAGCAGAAATTTGCAATCAATCTTTTCTTGCCACTGAATAAACAGATTCCACATGCATAGCAATTTGCATATCCCAGCTAAAAATGTAATTCATTATTTTTAAGTCCATTTCATAATAACTATTTCAGGATTAATGTCACTAAGTATTTTTTAGCTCTGTCAAATGTAACCTAAGATAATCCTACCTAAAAAGGTACAAAGGTAACAGGTCCACTCTGGAATAGGAAAGGGAAGTACCTTTCCTGAGGTCAGCAAATTAGTCAGTGTAAGAGCCAGAACTGGAAATAAGAAGTCTTGAGAAATAATTTTCTTCTACACATCTCAAGCTTTCAGCCTCAAGAAAATACTGCATTTATTAAGACACATTTTCACATTTTGCTAGGTATTAAAACAACACAGATATGAACAGGAATTAATGGTATAGTCTACATGCAGATTATCACTAAATCTGGTAAAGATTTAAATAGGATTTAATCAAAATATCGTCCATAGCATAATTTATATGAAGCTGCAAACACTGTCTTTAATAACAAGGAGGAAGCCTCTTCTTGTTTGGCATCTGTCTCTGAACTGGCTTTCACTTGACTGGGCTCCTGGTTTTGGTGTTCCAGGCTATTCTTTCGTAACATTTTCTCCCTTTCATCTTAGATCACTATCACGTTAAATGCTCAAACATATGGTATATAGGATTGATATGTTCTATCCTTTGAGGTTCACCTGCGTAATAATATTAGCCAGTTAAGCTTCTGCCATCTGTAACATATCACTTCTTTAATGTAGATGCAGTTAACATTCCCACAAATACTGTTAGTTTTGTGGTTATCACAGATCTTCATGCTTTGCAAAATTTTCTGGTAAAATGTTTTAGATTGTAGTTGATCCTAGGATATGTATCCTGACTTTACCATACTTGGCAAAACAGAGAAATATACCAATCATGTTTTTTTCTTTTTTTTCAGGCGATGGGTAAGGCTTCTGTTTGGACGTGAATTCCCGCTCCAGGACCTTCTGGTTGTCTGGGATGCTCTATTTGCTGACAGTATCACCCTGAATTTAGTTGACTACATTTTTGTAGCCATGTTGTTATATATTAGAGATGCCTGTAAGTATCAACTATCTTAAGATCTTTCAAAAAGAAAGCAAACCTATTTTTCAAAGAAAAAGAGGACTTAAGAAATGTTCAATTTCATTGTGACTTTTTTAATATACTGAAAATCATTCCAAATGCTAGGAGAGGAGCCATTTATTACCAGGCGCTTTCTGCTGTATTTATGAAACAAATTGTATCTTGGAGTTAAATGCAGGTTTGTTTTCTGAGTAGTTCTGTGTTTTTATATGGAGTTGCAGATTTTTTGTGCAGCAAGTGATACAGGTATGTATAGAGCTCCACCTTCTGACCAAGCTCGTGAATTGAGTAAAGCCTCCCTTTGACACTGGAAATATTTTTATGCTGTTCTGCTGTGAGAAATGTAAAAATGCACAAGACAATGACTCATAATTTTTGAGGATATATCTTCAAGAAAATGTAAATGCAGAGATGAGTAACAATTACAAAATATGTTTATTTTATGCAAGAGTGTCATCTTTAAAAAAAATATCATTTCATTTTATTGTATTTTAGTATGTCTGAAATATGCGCAAAGGTGAATTCTTATGGGCTAGTGATTACCAATAAATAAATTAAATTGGGACAAAGAAGAAATCATAAAAATATTGTAAGCTTATGTAATTGTGAATGGGAGGGGGAAGATATGTAATGGTTATCTGAGGCATTTATTTCTGTCCTGTCATATTTTGCAAAAAATTCTGTGTACAACTTTGCCGCAACAACGTATGTGTTTTGCAGCAAGGTGAATGTCTCTCACTAAATATATAAATTCCATAGCATGCTGTTCAGAGTTAACTGTATGCAATCTGTAATCTTTAGGTTATAACAAGGTCACATATTTGACACAATTTTGTATTCTAGGATGCATAAAGTTTTCAACATCTGTGGTTCCTATTTTAGGGCCCCATCTTGAAAACATAATGTGCATGTACTTTACACGTACTGTCGTTCCACTGCCTGCCTTCATGTGTTTTTTTAATTACTTTTTAATAAACATGCAGCATATAGAGCTACCGTACATTGCTCTCAAAAAGTGGACATTTAATTCAGTTTAGAGGTTTCAAAATTAATGCTGCAGTTTCAGGATGATCTGATTCCAGGTCATTATGTTCTGCAATCTAAATCTGGCTTGTTCATGTGCAGTATACTGAAATAATCTTAAAATTTTTGGTATAGATACATAGTGCAGATGCATGGAAAAAATTCTTAGCATCAGTATTTTATTTTGTGTTATTGTTTCCCTTTAAAAAAAAAAAAAACAAAAAAAAAACCACAAACTTTAGAACTGTGTTTGTAATCACCATATCTCTTCTTGGAGAGAGAAGGTTGTTTTGGCTTTTTTTTTTGCTTTGTGGTGTGCTCGTGTTGAAGTATCAGTAAGAGGTAACTAAAAATGTGAACTAAAAATGTGTTCTAGGCATCCATATGAAATCAGTCTCCCTCTTTTCTCCAAAATCCCCAGGCTCAGTAAATAGAGTAGTAAATAACTTTGAAGTGGACTACATTTGCCCAAATGAGATGCAAAGTCATCTTATCAGGACAGCTAATACTTCATACATATATTGGTTTTGTAACAAGTAACTTTTTGTTCTATAGTTGCTTAGTTAGCTACTCTAAGCATAATAGTGAAACAAAATAGTCATAAATACTGTAACGTTGAATGTATTTTCAGTCAGGCTCAAACTATAGTGATTTCTACAGTTCTTGATTTGATAAAAGAAAGCTTTTCTTACTTATCTGTAATAGAAAAGTTTTCTGGTTTTCCTCATTTTTTTTAATTGCTAATAATATTTGAGCTTTGAATGGAGTTCAAAGTTCTGTTGTGATATTTTTTAAAACATTTTCAAATAAAATGAGTTTCTAAAAGCTTTTCTTTATTTGGTGAAAGGAAATGTTAGTTCAAAACAGCTGATGATGTTAATCATCTATAAATAAACCGTCTGGAAATTTTCAGTTTAAAAACTTTGAAACAATAGGAATAATAATAGAGCTCCTAAGGTATTATGTTATAAAAATGTCAAACATAAGCAATTATATTAATACAGCACTGAAAGCATCTGAAAGTTTTAAAATTATGCCGATTCTTTTATACCAAAACATTTGGGGATGGAGGAGAAGTCGCTGGTTTGGGAATTGATCGGGTTTTTTTCTGTGTCCTATTATGTTCTCAAGGACATGATTTTAAGAAAGTATCATTTCTGTTGGTTTGGTTTGGTTTGTTTTTTGTTTTTTTAGTTTTAAAATCCTCTGTTACTCAAACAATATATTATTCAGGGAGAAGGGAGACTTTATATTATTAGATTATTTTTTATAAATTTTAGAGATTACAGATACATAACCACGTACACAGCCATTCTGTAAGCTGGTCTGTTTGGTTTTACATCTGTATCCAAGCAGAGCTTTATTCATGGAGTGATAATCCTCACAAGCCAAGTGTAGGGTTGTGTACCAAAGTATCTGTCAGTTTTAATAAATTATTTTCTGAGTTTCTTTGGAAAAATTAATGCAAAACAACGGGTTTTTTTAAATCTGTCAAGTCAGAAGCATGAATATGTTACTTTTTCACCAGTATGCATGTATGTGCAGTTGTTGATGAAATCAGAATGGAGGGGAGTGTGCAGTGCAAAAATATGTCCTTCTGTTCAAGGAGAACAAAAATGAACCAACCTGGAAGACCTGTCTATATTTTGCATAGTAACCTAACATCATTATTGCACCAGGATCTAATTTTGACTGATCAGTGTTAGAATAAGTATATTTTTGTCATGCTCCTACTTGAAGACTAGCTATGGCCATTGTTAGGATATATTTTTTCTTATCAAAAAGTGCTCTGAATATTTTAAGGGAAATAAAGTAGCCTCTTCTTAGAGAGCTGATTTGTTGTTTTTGTTGTAGTGCAAAGTGTTCATATTATCTGTTATTATTTAGGACGTACCAAAGAGAATATAGCCATGTGAAAGCAGCAGGAGGAAGTAGTCTCACCCTTCCTGGATTAGGAAGTCATCAGGATACAGGATTGGTGGTATTAAACGTTAAACTCTTAAAAAATGACATGTGGCAGAAAATTAGGACTTTGTTGAGGACAGGTACAGTTAGTTTACATGTTTTCCACCATTATTATTGCTGCTTGCATCCAGAATGGTTATTGGACCAACAGAGAAAAGTCAGTCTCATCTAAAGCAGAAAGGAGAAAGCAATTTGGTGTTCCTCTGGGCACTGCATAACAAATATTAAAAGGCTTTCTCTATGTAGAGGAGTTCTTCTACTCCTTTCCCTAGAAATACCAATAGCGTTCTTTGGAGAAGTCAGAACTTGTTGTTCACAATAAAAGTTGGATCCAAATGTGAGTCTTGCCAAGCCAATTAGTGTAGAAAAAGCACCAGTACAGAAGCACCGAGCTGATTACAAGGCAGCTGGGCACAGTGTAAGATACTTCACCACTAAACTTCAGCACCTGCTGAGACTGGATAAATAAGTATTGCACTGAATCTTCTTCCAAAAACTGTATCCTGCAGTTGATTCTTAGAAATCCTTTTAACTCTGATATACATATTCAGAGATGGGGTGTTTGGTTTGTTTTACTGCTATTTTGTCTATCATTTTTAAGAAAACTGCCACTCTGTTGGATAATACATTTGGTCCTGAAGAGACAAGAATCATAAAATTATTTTGGACTGGAAGGGACATTCAAAGATCGTCTAGTCTAATCCTCTGCCAGGGAGGGGGCAGCCACAGCTTCTCTGGGCAACCTGTGCCAGTGTCTCACCCCCTTATCTTGAAGAATTTCTTCTTTATGTCCAATCTAAATCTTAGCTCTTTCAGTTTAAAACTGTTGCCCCTTGTCTTGTCACTACAGGCCCTGGTAAAAAATCTCCTCTGTCTTTCTTATAGCCCACTTAATAGATTGAAAGGCCGCTATAATGTCTCCCTGGAGCCTTCTCTTCTCCACGCTGAACAGCCCCAACTCTCTCAACCTGTCTCCATAGGAGAGGTGCTCCAGCCCCCTGATCATCTTCTTGGCCTCCTCTGGGCTTGCTCGGGCAGGCCCATGTCCTTCTTACGCTGGGGGCCCCAGAGCTGGACACAGCACTGCAGGTGGGGTCTCAAAAGAGCAGCAGAGAAGGGGAGAATCCCCTCCCTCGACCTGCTGGCCACACTTCTCTTGATGCAGCCCAGGATACAGTTGGCTTTCTGGGCTGTGAGCGCACGTTGCCAGGTCATGGGCAGCATATAGATCACTCTGAAACGAAGGGTACCAAGAGGTGTTTCAGCAAAGTAATCCCTTTAACCCAAGGCTCTCCAGCAAATAGAAGCCCCTGCATCAATGTTCTCTCCTGTAAAGATTTCTACATGAAAAGGGGACAGCTGAATATGTGGAGAAAACCTTAAAGATAAAATAAATATAAAAGTTAACAGGACTTCCTCATTAAAGTGTTGAAGTTTTTATAACTTTCTTTGGATGTTAAGGTTCCATTTTAAAATTTAACTTTTAGGGATCAGAGCAGACATAGGTCATTGCCAAACAGTCTGATTTTTTTTTTCCATTATTCAATTGCTTCACCGTTATACATTCAAAAAAATTAGTAATTAGAGTAAATGTCTCGTGGTTGAAAATCTTTTTTTTTTTTTTTTGTCAGGGGTCAAGTCTGCACTGTTAAAATAAATTAGCTTTTTTAATATTTGCTTTTCTCTATACCTGTGATATAGCAAAGAACTCTTCCAGGAAAAATAGGAGAAGGATAATTTTAACCCATTTTACATTGCAGAATAGAACACATACGGATCTGTGTGTTGGTCTTACTGCCTATCATTCATTAAAGTATTTAGAATTTACTATCAATTTTCAGTATTTTTATTTGCTTGGGTAAAAAGGCATCATGATCATAACTGTAGTACAGTATCTTAAATATGATTTACGTATGAGAGTTTGATTGGGTATGTACTATGTGGTGCTTGTATTATACTTCTCTGAAAGAAACCTGACGAAGACCATTGTATTGTGTTCATTATGCCAGCTTTGTGACTTCAAGAAGAAAAAACAGGTACCTGAATATGAACAAGAAAAACAAAGGGTAGGAAAAAGAACAGGCAGAACAGATAAAGAATGAGTAGGATAAGTGAGTGCTTTACAAATGAAAGCAGATGTATGAAATTACAAGCTGTCGGATCAGCAACGGAAATGAAGATGATAAAGTGGTTCCCTACACAGATTATAATTATTCATTTTGCCCAGTCCTGCATCTTTTCCCCATAATCCTCTTGTTGAGGGAGGAAAGGTACAGGAGGATATGAGGCTTATTCACATGAAAGAAAAGAAGCAAAACATTTAAATCTTTCTGTCTGCAAAACAGTCCTTTATTTTGCGTTTTGTTGATTCAGAATAATTTTGTGTTTGCAATGATCCTTTCTGGTGTAGAGACCTGATTAATTAAAAGTATCTGTTACTACAACTAAAGTTCTCAGAATAACAAAGTTTGTTAAAAATTTATTTACAATTACAACTGTTGGAGGCTGTCTTTATGTTGCAGAGTGCAAGCATCATTAACAGGCATTGCTTTGACAGCTGTGGCAGATGGATTGCCTGGATTTAGATGGTACAAAAGAAATGAAGTAGTTTACACAGACCTGCCTGAAAAGATGTCTTTAATAATTGCACTCATAATTAGATTGATTTGGGGGGGAAAAAAAAAAAAAACAAACCACAAAACAGAAGACAACAACAACAAACAAAGAACCACAGAGTACACTCACATAGATTCAGATAAAGTCAGGCACAATTATAACAAAATTTTCCTGAATAAGTAAAAAATTCTAAGAAAGTGAATGGTATGTTATATTTCTAAGTATTTATGAGATTAAGATCTAACCTTTTCCCCTTTTCCTGAACATTTCATGAATAGTTTCCAGTTTACAAGAAAGCAAGAAGTTGTTGACATCATTTTATGTATGTGTATTTGTATTTCTATGGGCACGTATACATGTATGTATATAAGAACAACATAAAAGATATTTCAGCAAAGAATTGTCAGAGTAGAGGAAAGTTATCATAAAAGCAGGACAAAAGGTAAAATTTATCTCATAAATTAGCATACTTTAACTTAGGTGTCTGCAGAGGAGTGTCTGAAAAGTCAGTGTCCATTTCAGAGTGTAGGACTAGTACTTCAAGCTCCACTGACTGTATTGCCCTGACCTCCACTGACTTAGGCAGGCTTTAGGTGCACAGCTAGAGATCTAAATTTAGTCATCTAAATCTGGAGCTAACATAAATGTCTATGACATAAAGTCCGTGGTAGTTTTAGTATTGTCCTTAATGGTATTGGACCAAGAATAGTCAGGAAGCTTGATTATGCAATAATTATTTTACTCTGAGCAACTGCTTGAATTCCAGGAGACTTAATGTGGGAAAAGACAGCTGAATCTGAACTGCAGTGAATCTACTGGAAAGGGTACTGGTTTGGAATGTCATAACGAGATAGTGATATTTCCTTTTTTTTATTATTTATTTTCATTGCAGTGATTTCAAGTAATTATCAGACCTGTTTGGGACTTCTGATGCATTATCCACCTATTGGAGATGTTCACTCCCTTATCCTAAGAGCACTTTTCCTCCGAGATCCAAAGGTGAGATGCTCACTTTGTAAATACAGGGAATAAATCTCTGTAGTATAATGTTCTAAATACTGTGAAGTTAAAAAGAACCTACATTTTGGGGATTAAATTGTAGTTTCAAGTTTCTTCTTACCTAACAGAAAAGCTGAAGGAAAGTGTTGGTAACCAAGAGTAGAATCAAGTTCCTTTACTCTTTAAAGGATACTATCCTACTACTTTCCTAAAGTTACCCAGGAGCTCTGCTAACTGCAGATGTTAATGCTCTTTCGAATACCTTTGCATGGTACTCTGCACAAACATCTTTCATAATAAAGTATACTTTTGAGGGAAACAGTAATATTTTATATAATATCCTAGTAAGTTGTATAGAAAGTGTTATGCAGTTTCATCTGTAAGACCTTTTCCACGGGATTTCTGTAGATTAATCACTGTTAACCCTTAAAGTACTACCCCCACCCACTATCTAAGAGTTATATGATGGTTTTCAATTAAAAATGAGTCTGCTGTTACAGCCTGAAAAGATACACATGAATAAAATGTATACATTCATAAATTTTATGTTATATATTAACTAGCATACAGTTTCTGATACCTATACTAAAAAAAGTGAACCTCTTGCTGTTTTAGAATGGCATGTGTATATGTGTGGATATAATATACAGCAGATATTCACAGTATAGTGGATAAAGTATTTGAGATGAAGCTGTACACAGTAATCTTTACAGTACTCAGATCTTTGACAGATAGCGGAATTTGTGCTGCTGGTTTTGAACTGTCTCTGTGCATGTCCCATTAGTAGGCTGCCAGTGAAAAGTCCGATTTCCCTCATCTTCTTGATACACATCACCTTTGAAAGTGAAAAATTCATCACTTCTGCACTCTGCCTTCTACACAATTTCATTCAGTACCAGTGTTTACACTTCTATGGATTAAGAAAAAAATCGTCTCTTTGTTTTATATCAGTTTTTTGAAGAAATCTTCATCCTTACAGCTGCTTTCTTCATTCCTCTTGGGCGCAAAGATTTCTTTCATGACAAGAAGTAAAGTATATCATCTTTTCAGTGTCTAAGAAAGTTTGTAATGTTAGATCTCAGGAATCTTTCTTAAGATTTCGGCAGCAGTCTGTGAAATCAGACCACCCAGCATTTTTTTATGTGCTCTCTTAGCAAAACAAGATAGAAGGGTTTTTTTAAGGGAAGATACAGAGGGAGGAAAATTGTGCTAAGATATTAAGATAAATCCAATATGTAATTTGTCATTTACTAAAGGTATATGTTAGAAGGTAGAATAATTATGAATTATTCAGCTGTCCTCCAAAGCATCCTAGGCAGTATACAAGATATCCTACCTATCAGCTAGAGAGGGCAAAAATAAACCACCAACTTCCCATGAAAGAAGCTTGATCACTACCCGGCTCCTGACACTCTTGTCTCAAACAGAATAAAGTTGTCAGGTGCATAAGGCCTCAGTGTCCTGTTAATTAACATTCTCAGGTGTGCCTTGAACACCTTTCAGAAAAATACTGGCTGTAGTTCCTACCATGTCTTTCAGGCAGTTCTCACTTCAGTCAGGTAAATGAGTACTTAAAACTTTTTCGTGCAAAGACTGCCAGTTGTTTTGTCAATTTAAATATGATTAATTACAATTGTTCCTCATTTTCAAGCTGCACTTATTTGCTTGGGAAATACTCTGAAAGTTAGGAAGCTGGGATTTCCAGAGAAAAAGGAGCCCTAAGGGACTCCCAGCCACTTCTCAGTTTACATTGGGTCTTTGTCTTGAGACTGCATAAACAGATCTGCACTTATTACAGTAAGGAAGTTAAAATGTTCTAAAGGATCACTCTAAAAGGAAAAATAACTCCTGGTCTGAGAAAGAAATGTATTTTCAGTGCTGTGACTTGAGTACCTGTTTCTTATCTTTCCCTAGGTATGATTTTAACTTTCGCTTACGTATCTTTAAGCATATGTTGGTCCAATCCAACATGTTTTTTTGAAATGGAAGTCTTGTTACTAAGACCTACACATAAAAATTTTCCAAGTTTGTCAGAGTTTTTCATTACAGAGAATGAAAGGGAAGACTCAACAAGACATGATAGGTGCTGTAGGAGTCTAAAGTCAGTACACAGATTATATACCAATACAAGTGGGAAAATTATGATGGGTTTTTTTTTTTTTTTTTTTTGCTATCTGCATAAAGATAATTCAGTTTACCTTTATTGCCTGAGCAGATAAAAGGAGGCTGAAAGAAAAGACAAGGAGATTTCAGTCAGTAGCGTAACTTGTAAGTGATGATTAGCAAATTCAGCGCTTAATGATTTTTCTTCCTTCTTTGATGTTTTCCTGTGTGTTTCTCCATCACCAGCTTCTAGTTTCTAATGGGAAATTACATTTGGTTCAGTGCAATTTAAATCTCCTAATCCAAGGCTGAGTTACTGTGTGGCATTTCTTCCAGGATTTCACTTGGGTTTTAATATGTGAAGTCCGGGAACTCTTCTGTGGGAGACTGCTGCATGATTCAGTGGCTTATTTCATTATTTGTTGAACATAGCAAGAATGTTTAGCGTTGTTCCAAATATCTGAGAGAGGTTTGCTCTTTACCCCTTGGAGCTTTAAATCTCAGACAAGAAATGCAGTTTAGAAATCATGGACAGGGACAAACAGGAATCTGCCTCTCTCACATTTGTTAATATATATTGTCATTGGGATTATTTTTGCAGGTAGGTAAATACCAAATAATCTCGCTGAGGGGAAGTTGTGGGGTATTTGGACTGAGAATGGTTAGTGGCATGTACATAAAATTGAAAGGTTATTAAGGAACGCCATAAGTGGCGAAGTAGTTAAGAAGGACCTGATACAGCTTTTCCATCCATAACTTCCAATTCTGGAGTTAATCTGGGTTTGCATGTCTAATAACATCCATTATTTCTTCTGTTTCCTTCATCTGACATAACAACTACTTCATCCTTGCTTATTTGTCTTGTAGACTCTCAGGAGAGCTAAACTTTGGCTTGATGAACCTGTTGCACTTTGTTTGCTTCTTTTCATTGCAGTCATCGCCAGGATAGCAACCTAAATGTCAAAAGAAAGACTTAAAAAATACACTTAAAGCTACACTTTACACTTTAAGCTACACTTAAAAAATGGGTGGCATTTTTTTCTTACAGATGGACGAAAACAATTTCATGATCTTTTGTGGAATCAAACCTTTCAGAAACCTTAGCATTATCCAGTAATAACAATAATATGAAAAGTAATTAGTGCTTGCCATTAATCTAATGGGTTCAGCAGCTCTCCTTTTCAATTCATGAACCCCAGTTGGCAGTTGGGATGAGAGGACCTTTTAGATACCACATCCCTGATATATTCTAGTGCCACAGAAGAGAAATAGACATCTCTGTAATAGCTGAAAACAAGTTAATGCACCTGTCTCTGAAGGGGTGCCTGAGAGATACTAATTTTACAGGCACGAATATGGATCAATTCAGAATAATTGAATTTCAGCCTTTTCTGCATTTGGCTAGCTCCAGTTCTTAGGAAAATGTAGAAAGAAAATCTCAAATCAGTGTTGTTGTCTTTGCATAGGGTGATAAAGTTAACCTGCTTAGTAGAGTATTTGTTTCACATTCCTAATCTTTGAACATATAATTACTTCAATTATTTATATGAAAGTAACTTTATGCACTCACAGTCCCTCTGAATATAAAATTAGAGCTTCTTATGGAAGAACAGGGTATTAAAAGTATGTGTACGTGAAATGAGAAAATAAGGGAAGGTTTTTTTGTGTATATCCAAAAGCATTTACTGAAGGTGTGTCTCTGTGTATTTAATATCCCATGAGTGGCCATTTTTTTTCATTTTTTTCCTTATCAAAACCAGGGAGCACTGTTAATTTTCAAAGCAAAGGCTGCGAAATTAAGGAGGAGAGATACGGAGACAGGGCAGTAGAAAAATATAAAGTGATTAAAAAACATAGTTCTAACTAGAGTTGTTCAAATAAAAAAAAATTAAAAAACCCAATTAGAAACAAAAGTCATAGAAAATGTGAACATATTGTGTTCCTTAAATAACCAGATGTTCTCTCCTTCCTGAAGGCAGCCAGGGCTAGGAATAAAAGGTTTAAAACTATTGTTTTAAGTTAACTGTGAATTTTGCAAATCTGTTTTCACCCTTTAGCAAATAAAATTCTAATACAGCAACATAAGCAAAGTAATTTTCATCTTTGGGTGTTCTTATTTGTATGTTGTTCTGCTTTGAAGTGTTAACCTTATCACAATGACTTATTAGAAACTAAAGCACTACATAGAATATTACAGTTTTACATTGCATACTAAGAACCTTGACAACCATCCTTTGTCTGAAAGCTTACTGTATTTAGTCTTAATATTTTTGTAAAATAAGTTTTTCTTCAGATATTTTAACGTGGTGAGTTACCATATTCATTGAGCAAGCTAGTTATGAGCTTAATTCAGTGGAGACACCTTTTGTCATAAGACATCAATTCAAAAAAACTAAAAATAAAGTAGTTGTGCTTGGTTGATGGGAATCAATTTGTTAGTTTTGCTAATAATATTCCAGTTACTGCCGGCTGATATTTTCTCAACATTGTATTTTAAGCTATTTGCTGACATTGAAAGTGGCAGTATAATAATGTTAAATTCTAACGAAATCCATGATGAATCATACATGACATTTCAAAGAAGTTGTATTAGTCCATCTTGACTGAAATTACAGGTACTGCCAGAAAACTTAAGCAATAATATCTGGTCATGATCGCTCATATAACGATTAGTCGGAGAAATCTGCATTCCAGCTTTTAACGCTTTTCACAATCTGAGCAGTAAGTGACAAGGGGGAAACACATTACTGAAATTTTGAATCGAACTCTTTGTACATTTATTTTCAGCTGAATTTTCTTCTTAAGTAGCTGCCACCATCTCAGAGTTTTCTCCAAGCTAATTTCATCTTCCTGAAAGGCTGTTGAGTTTCACTTTCTTCTTCTTCAGATAAATTCTT